TCCGACAGGTTCTACCATATCATTAAGGTATCGGACTATCCGGTCACTAGGCTGAAAACGGGAGCAGTCTCTGAGTAAACCTAGGAGGCTGGGGAGCTAGCTAATAGAAGAAGGTGAAGCTTGGGCAACGCACCTGAACCAGTGGACGCAGTACGCGGTGCTTGGGCAACCCTGCTTCTCGCAGGCGGGCCCTTAACCCCGATTGGGGGCCCTTACTGGGGATTGTGCGACCCGTGAGAAGCTATGGAGACTGTTTTAAATCTTGTATCAAGGGGTGCTCTTAGAACCCAAAACCCTGAGCATTGCTCAAGACCAGCAATGATGGAAAACCTCGGCGATAATGCGCTACCAAACCAAGAAGCTAGAAACAGCGACAATAGAGCAGCCGATGAAAAGGAGAATAAATCGAAAGAGATGCTTACTCACGATAATAATAGATGGACTGCTGAAGAGGATAAGATATTGAAGGAGTTATGCGAACAAGTAGAGGAAATTAAATGGAGTAAAGTAAGAAAAACTTTTTGTGAACGAACACGAGGTGATAGGTCAGTTGATGCTCTAAAAACCCGATGGCGGATACTGAAACCCATAGAGGGCCAAAAAAGGGAACGGAATACGGCTGGGAATGAGTGGACAGCAGAAGAAGATAATACGTTGAGACGACTGTGTACAGGATTTAGCGGGAAAATACCGTGGAAAATTGCTGTGAAGAATCAATTTGAAGAAGTAACGGGAAAAACAAGAACTGTACAAGCACTTCGAGCTCGGTGGGGGCAAATGAAAGACAAACTTCTGAAGGAAACCAGGACAACCGAAGAACCAACGAACATATCGCCAAATAATGAAGAAATAAAAAACCATTTACAAGAAATCCTGAAGGAGATAGAGCGAGCACAAACAGGTCTACCGAACAGCCACCTAGACTCGTGTAATAGCCAACAGTGTGAGGAGCAAACAGGAACTAGAGACTTAGCAGTGCCAGAGAGAATGAAAGCGCATTTCGAATCAGTAATGAGACATAGCACTTACCATATAGACAGGCGACCATTGAAAAGACCTAGACAGGAGGTTAGCGAAGAAATGAAACAAATTGGAAGTTATCTTATCAAGAAAGCAATGGAGGAGAAACCGGAAAACCGAAATGAATTGCGTTACTTAGATAGTGCGGTATATGCGGCAGCTAGCGCCATAGTTAGCGAAATCCAGCAACAGAAGAGAGACAGTATTACAACGATGAGAGGGGAAGAATGGTATAAAGAAGAATGCTGCGATTTAAAAAGAATCAGAATTATTCGAGAATATTTAACAAGTGAAATAGAAAGGCGGCGAAGTAGAAGATGGTCAGAAAAAGATGATTTTCTAAAGATGCGGAAAATACGGGAATATATTGGACGACGGTGTAGGACTAAAGCATTAATAAAAACTGAATCGAGACTAGAAATGCAACAACAATTGCTGGAAAAGAGGATTAACCTCTGAAAAGAAGATGAGGTAAGAAAGGCCACTAGGAAGAAGTTTGCAAACACACCCTCCTTAAAATCAATTCGAGTTGAAAAGGGAAAAAAGGACACCACTCATCCAACTACAAATGACATACTCGAATTTTGGGTCCCAATAGTTGGAATATCTAAGGTAACGAATCCAAACGACAATGAGGAACTAATGGCGTGGAAAAACTACATACAACAAGAAATTCAAAGAAAAGACCCAATGGCGGTAAACTCTACTGACCTGCAAACACTCTTCGAAAAGGTTATCGTAAAAGCCAAAGCGTGGAGAGCACCGGGACCCGATGGTATCCATATGTATTGGTGGAAAAACTTGAGAGAAGCCCGAGAAAGAGTAAAGAATATAGCGTGCAACGGGATCAAAACTGGGAACTTGCCATTCCAATGGTTAGCGAAAGGACGGACAATATTACTGTATAAGAAAGGAGACAAGAAAAATCCATCCAATTATAGATCAATTACGTGCTTGAATACTGTGTATAAGTTACTAACAGGGATGATAAACGAAATATGTAAATCAAGATGTCAACAACTGGGGCTCATCCCTGAAGAACAAAGAGCTATGAGGACCGGTGAAACTGCATGCCTACATGCAATATTGAAAGATCAATACATGACCGGTCGAGCACGGTATTCTAGAAGATCTTTAGCACTATGTTGGATGGATTTCCAAAAAGCATTTGACTCCGTTGCACATACCTACCTCAAATGGTTACTGGAAACAACAGGCATGCCACTAGAAGTAAAACAATTCTTAGGTAAAGCTATGAAACACTGGTCAACAGTGTTCCAGGTGGAGAATATAGTAACGAACCGGATAAAGATAAAGAATGGAATATTCTAAGGCGACACGTTATCGCCATTGCTGTTTGTCTTAGCGATGACACCGATAAGCTATTGTTTGAATGTGGTAAAAGAAAGCGATAAAGAAAAACGAGCTGAACTCAAGTAAATGAACCACCAATTTTACATGGACGATCTGGAAGTATATGGGAAGAACAAAGAAAAGCTAGAAAAGCTAATTGAAGCGGTCAGGAAAATTACAATGCCTATGGGGTTAAATTTGAACGAGCAAAAATGCGCCATTAAGTACTATCGAAATGTGGAAGAAACCACTGAAACATCACCAATTGAAACGAATACCAACCAGACAAACATTATACCTCAGCTATTGGATGAAGAAAGTTACAAGTACCTTGGCATAAGACAAGAACTATGGCCTGTAAAGGAGGGATATGAAGAACTAGCCCAACAATGCGTCGAGATCACCAAGGAAATCCTAAATAGTGAAATCTCTTTTAATCAAAAGTGCTACGGATTCAAAACATTGATAGTAGGAAAG